ATATAGCCGCTCAGGAACTCAGCTTTTGCAGCGGCACTTGAGCAATTACTTACAAGGAATGCATATTTAGTCAAAGTGGCCATTTTAGATGGGATGTATACCATACTGAAGGGCATAAAATGCTGATTCCAAATCTGCCTTCCTTATCTGCAGAACATTTATGGATGAGAAGTTATGAGCGCTTACTGGAGCAAAAATTGGATGTGCAAGTTACAAAAATAGCCGTAATACTTTTTCTAGCTCTTCAATAGAGCAGTGACAATCATCAGAACACTTTATCTAAAAAACAATCTAAATTAGAGAATATATCACATTTGGTTGCATTATTTGAGGGCTAGTAAAATTTTAGCAGCTCATTTTATCCAAAATGCGCAGTCACTTTTTGGCTCCAAAAAACGCTCATAACTTCTCGTCCATAAACGTTCTGCAGATAAGAAAGGCAGTATTGGAATCAGCGTTTTATGTCCTTAATATGATACACATCTCATTTAAAAAGGCCAATTTGACTAAATAAGCTTCTCTTGTTAGTCAGCCTCGCTACTATACAGCATTTATATCTCACCTACCCTCAATTTGGACGGTGCCTGTAACGCTATTCTGTTCACGATTATTCAGCAAAGACCTGAATTTCCATTTCTAAGTACTAGATTCTTCTTAAATCTTTGATGCTACTCTGGAAGTTATGAGGCCATACTATCTCAAAGTCATTTTAGCGCCGCAGCGCCGGCACAAAAATGAAACAACTGGGAGACGCTTGCGAAAAATACAAGATGGAACAATGTCGAAGTGAAAAGCAAGATGAATAGGTGATCGAAACGTATGGGGCCAGGTGGTGAGTGAAGAATGGTTTGCGCATGAGACATCGCACACAAACGAACAGGTTCGTGATGACACACAAGGCCCGTCCGCGCCGCTGCCGATGACAGCTACCGACTACATGACGGTACCTCTCCTTTAATCGATAACTTACAGGGATATATAAAATTCCAAAGTCTAAACTCGAATCCAATCAGCAAAAATATGCTTCCGTTTGATACGATAATCACTGCACAAATAACAAAATCCTCCAATTATTCAAAAAACTAGTAAGAACATGACGGTGGTACCAATTGCTGAACTAAATAGCCCTATCAACGTCGCAAAACTGGATCAATTCTGCAGTCAGCAGGCAATCGCAGAATATGTTGGCTGAAATGCAGTTTCATTTTGCACTTGTAAAGATAAACGAGCAGTGCTGCTTTGGACAGAGAATCAAAATTCTTGCATGTTCTCCACATCGCCGCATGCAGCTATAAGAGCAATTGTTTTTCAAAAGGCGAGAGTACTTGATAGGCAGCATTTTCATGTTCAGATCTAGGCCAAGAAAGAAACTCAGAATGCCTAAAGAGCGCAAAATGAAGAGAGATAATTTCGAGACGATACAAACAACTCTTACATTCAAAAAAGAAATGCAAAAAATAGGAATCTGAAATCGTATGATGATAAACCAAGAGTTTTTAGTGAAAAAAATGATAAATGAATTATGGAAATAATAATAAAGTTAGTGTTCAGAGTGGCCACAAAAACGTTCACTTAGATTGTGAACATAGGTGCGATAGTGTGAGAATTTGCTCACCCCCCCTTCACCCCTGAGCCGGAAACCAAGGTGACCCCCTTCACCAAAACGACAAAAAAAATCAACAGTGAGGTAAGGTTATGCCTGATAAAATGACCACGCTATCAACCTATTTGTAGGCTCTACAGTCAAGAAGCAAGTGAAGGGCAATCGTGGCATTCTTCCAGTTATGTCCTTAGACCGATTTTATGAGGACCGATTTTATAAACGGTCTGAAAAAAGTGTGATCAAAATTATTGGATGGTACACAAGTGCAAAACTGAGGTTTTTGCAGGCGTAATGTTCGAGAAGGAAAGGTTATACAACGCTTGTCACTTGCTTCATACGAATATGGGATGAAGGTCCGGACCGACCATGACTATATTCTTGTCTTAATGTTGCCGTTTCATGCTTTGTAATTCAATGAAAATATTGAAAGATGACGACTATCAACTATTGTGAGGCCATCAGAAGTTGTAATAGAAAGTGGTTCTGAGAAGTGTGATGATAGGAAGTATCAAAAATTATGAATGATGAAGCACGTAGAAAGAAGTAAAATATTGTCTGCCCAGGAAACTCTGAAAGATACAGTAAAATTATTGCATGTATAAATGGCCATTCTTGGTAAATGTGCACGTAAATGATAAGAAGGAAACACACGGGAGCAGGATTGGAACCTTCTCGTTATCTTCTAAAAAAAGGCATTGGATGACAATGGAAGAAACAAAGACAGGAAAATTGGAACGCCTGACTGCCACGAAAAATTTATTCCGCTGAAGACTACTGGACACTGCGTAATACTGAACTTGTTAAATTCGGCAATTGGAAAAATTAGGGTTGTTGAAACAAAGTGAGGTTGTAACTACTTCTTGTTTAAATTTAGATTTAGCATAGGAGATATTTGTACGAAAATTGTTTGTGTATCGGAAAGGAGGGAGAAGATTTATAGGCAAAATTTGAAAAAATTCAATTAAAAATTCATAACGTTTGTAGATGAACAGCTAGTACAAGGAAATGCTCACCATTGAAACCGTTTCTTCCTCTGCTTTCAGAAAATATATAGTTTGTCTGGGATCCGTTGAAAAAAGTGCGTGGTGAAGGGGGTGCCTAGTGATTTTTGGAGATTTTTGAGTTTTCAACATAAAAAAATTCATAACTTCTGTAGATGAACAGCTAGTACAAGGAGATGCTCACCATTAGAACCGTCTCATTCTCCGCTTTCAGAAAATATATAGTTTGTAAGGGATCCCTTGCAAAAAGTGCTTGGTGAAGGGGGGGTGAGAATTTTATAACGGGAGTTCTCAGGTAGACGTCTTTTTACAATGGTGAAAAGGCCTCTGCCTGAGAACTCCCGTTATAAAATTCTCACCCCCCCTTCACCAGGCACTTTTTGCAAGGGATCCCTTACAAACTATATATTTTCTGAAAGCGGAGAATGAGACGGTTCTAATGGTGAGCATCTCCTTGTACTAGCTGTTCATCTACAGAAGTTATGAATTTTTTTATGTTGAAAACTCGAAAATCTCCAAAAATCACTAGGCACCCCCTTCACCACGCACTTTTTTCAACGGATCCCAGACAAACTATATATTTTCTGAAAGCGGAGAATGAGACGGTTCTAATGGTGAGCATTTCCTTGTACTAGCTGTTCATCTACAAACGTTATGAATTTTTAATTGAATTTTTTCAAATTTTGCCTATAAATCTTCTCCCTCCTTTCCGATACACAAACAATTTTCGTACAAATATCTCCTATGCTAAATCTAAATTTAAACAAGAAGTAGTTACAACCTCACTTTGTTTCAACAACCCTAATTTTTCCAATTGCCGAATTTAACAAGTTTAGTATTACGCAGTGTCCAGTAGTCTTCAGCGGAATAAATTTTTCGTGGCAGTCAGGCGTTCCGATTTTCCTGTCCTTCTTTCTTCCATTGTCATCCAATGCCTTCTTCAGAAGATAACGAGAAGGTTCCAATCCTGCTCCCGTGTGTTTCCTTCTTATCATTTACGTGCACATTTACCAAGAATGGCCATTTATACATGCAATAATTTTACTGTATCTTTCAGAGTTTCCTGGGCAGACAATATTTTACTTCTTCCTACGTGCTTCATCACTCATAATTTTTGATACTTCCTATAATCACACTTCTCAGAACCACTTTCTATTACAACTTCTGATGGCCTCACAATAGTTGATAGTCGTCATCTTTCAATATTTTCATTAAATTACAAAGCATGAAACGGCAACATTAAGACAAGAATATAGTCATCGATCGGTCCGGTCCTTCATCCCATATTCGTATGAAGCAAGTGACAAGCGTTGTATAACCTTTCCTTCTCGAACATTACGCCTGCAAAAACCTCAGTTTTGCACTTGTGTACCATCCAATAATTTTGCACACTCACTTTTTCAGACCGTTTATAAAATCGGTCCTCATAAAATGAGGTTGTGAAAGGAACGATGCCGTTCCTGGCGGCGCGTTGTGTGTAATTGCACACCCACATTCACACACGCACTCACCCCCCCCCCCCCAACCCCCCCCCCCCCTCCCCCACCCCTCTGACCCCCTTCACCCTGGAGGGGCTGCGACCACCGTGACCCCCTTCACCCTGGAGAGGTCATTCTCACCTTATCGCACCTATGATTGTGAATGGATGGTAGGCGATCACGCCTAACATACAGTTTGTGCGTACAGTGAATGGATCGGGCATTACCTATTTGCACATGTGTCACTCGTCAATGCAATGTGTAGTTTTGCGACGCCGCACAAAAAGTTTTTCCTCATTCTGCAAGAAAGGTCGCGAAGAGTGGCAGCTCTTCATGCAAGGCCGTTTTAGTACTAATTTGTCACGCACACTCAGGTGAATTTTCGCGTATCTCACGTGGACTCCGAAAGCACCCAAATTATCTACAATACTAGCTCCAAGGATGCAATGGCTGCTTTTGTGTATTACAAAAATAAAAGAATGCGAGATGAATCAGGGGTAATTAAAGCTTTCGAGTAGTGTGCGGCATTCTTACACAATTAGTGCTGCATAACGAACAATAAGGGGATCAGCTACTTTTCGATATCGATAGCAGATGTTTGATGCCGCCAAAATTTATTATCGGAGAATGATTATTTGCCACCATGACCAAAGTTTAGCGATTCCAGTGATGTTCGATCACTGGCTCGAATAAACATTCTAACACTGATTGAAGTAACATGAATTACAAATAACTGTCGGTACTCCCTAATGTGACAGAAATCAAAAAACTGTTGTTACCCCCCTCCCCCAAAATATGACAGAAATTAAGGAAGTCCAGATTCCCTGAGAAGAGAAAGTGAACTGCTTCCGGCCTCCTGGCGTTTGGCATGCATTTTCAGTGTAATCATAATTTCAAAAAATCCTGGATAGGACTCACCTATGTTGCTCGATTTCTACGCCGCCAAGCAAGATTTTACAAGCTAAAGTAAAGTCCACAGCAACACGCGACAGCAACGGTTGTCCCCGATGCATGATACCTTCATCCACACTTAAATCGATATCAGCAGCCTAGAAGTCATTTCTGCAGTACTGTAAAAATTCGCTGAATGTGAAGTAAATTGTTACCTCCCAACTTCTAGCCCCATACGGGTGCTGCTTCGTTGGTAGGGAAGCTGGTACAGTAACCGTGATAGGATGTGGCGTACCTTCCCATGAGTACGTGGTTACTGCATATGAACATGCTTCTCCTGTGCTGGTTATTCCTGAATTCCAAGAATCAATAAGGGTACCTCTTTATTCCGGACCCAGTTTTGAAGCAAGTTTCTAATCTGTACCACATATTTGAACGTATGTCAATATTTTGAACCCGGTTTCAAGGGTCATTTGCAACACCTACGGCCTGTCATCCTACTCAAAAAGAAGCGATCACTGCATTTTTTTGCTTTCAAAAGCGCCGAAAGTCAATCTGCTTCAACAAACAACTGGTTTGAAGAATTTTCAAGTTCTTGTTCATTTCAAACGATAATTATGGAATCTACTGACCCTTCTGGATAGATGAGGTGAAGAGCGCCTTCGTAAATTCTGCGTAATCGCTGATTTTGACGGACAGACTCCAACCTCACCGTAGGGTTGAAACGCTTTTAAACCACAAAACTCAGTTTGCAATGTCCACAAAGTGCTGAACTTGATTTATTACATTGCCTACATGGGGATGCAGCTTTCGCAACAACTTTCAGATTTTCCCTAATGATGCGGTAGCGATTTAGACCTAAAATACTTTCAACGAAAATTCCCTGCGAGCAGAAGATTCGATATAACCCTAGATCTCCCTATTTCCCTCTGTGTTTCAGGTCATATTTCATCCGATGAATGAGCTTAGCTAAGATTTTGAAATTTTAAGCGCCTCCGGTTTTATCTCGTGATCAGTTGGCTTTGATTGTGCAGGGTGCTCCACTCAACATTCAGTGGATGTCAACTGCGGCTGAACCAGAGTGCTCAATCCCGAAATTTTTTCCCAGTCATGCACACGAGTTCGCTGTTGTATGGCTGTCGTAATGGCTACATCGCAGTATTTTCTGTCGCTTGAAAATCGAGTTTTGTGGTGCAAAAGTGCGTCAACCCTATGGTGAGGTTGGAGTCTGTCCGTCAAAATCAGCGATTACGCAGAGTTTACGAAAGCGCTCTTCACCTCATCTATCCAGAAGGGTCAGTAGATTCCATGATTATCATTTAAAATGAACAAGAGCTTGAAAACTCTTCAAACCAGTTGTTTGCTGAGCAGATTGACTTTCGGTGCTTTTAAAAGCAAAAAATGCAGTGATCGCTTCTATTTGAGTAAGATGACAGGCCGCAGGTTTGCAAATGTTTCATATTTTGGGATGTGATTGTATAATACAAAAAAAAAATTTGAGAATCCACGAATGCGATAGTGATTAGAGAAACCAGGTGGCTTTATAATTTTGTCCAGCTTTCAAAGAGGGCATTTTTGAATTTTTCGTTTTTCTCCGTTCAAATTCAACAAGACTGGAAGCCGTTTTGAGGGGTCATGGTAGGTTGACATGCGCACAATAAGCAAAGTTTCAGACAGATTCATTGACAAGAACGGAAATTACGACGATTTCTAGAGTGGCTTTATAATTATGACCAGCACTGTATAAACGGCACCTAAAGGCGTAGACGATCAGTGCTTAGGTGGGCGGAGCTTGAGGAGGTGGGCGTGGCTTGATAGCACTTTATGGGTATTGGAAAAGCGGACCAACGCAAATGCCCCTTTCTTGGGGTGTACATTCAGGCTAGATACCAATCCTAGAATCTTAGATTTTGCCTGGGCGCCCCTTAAAAGAACCTTTCGACTAGTTCCTAAGGATTTTTGAACAAACGTGTCAAAAAAGTAGGTAAACTATTTTCCTGAAATTAGGAATGGATGACAATTCCTCTAGACCTGGTCCATATAGCTTGGTAAAAGATGGGATTTTTCCTCATAGAAACGGGTCCGGATTGAAGTAGCACCGGATACCTTTACGTTAACACATAAGCGGCTCTAGTTGCAAATACAACAAAGGTCAAGGATTAGGTGACATCTCAAGAATGTGAGCCACTAGTTAGTTAGTGACACTGTGTTAGTGAAAGGACAAGTCTCAAAAACTCACCGCAATAGATCTTCCTAATGAAGTGTCCGCGCTCATCAGTTCCTGGATGAATATATCTGTTGCATTGAACCTACAATACTCCATCCTCATTATCAGTAAAAATAACAAGTCCCAAACAATTATTTGACAACAGCAGCGAACTTTCCAAGTGAATTTACCTTATAAGTGTAGGCATCTGGCGTGGCAGTGGTCAACTTTCGCGTAGTTGGACAGAAGTTGTAAAACCTATAATATGCTTCAAGAGAGTAGCGAGGACTGGGAAACGGGAAGTTCTTGGCCATACTTTGTAGTCCCTTGAGGCGAACCCCATGATCCAAGACCGTCTTGCGTCACTTCATGGCGATCCTCCAAGCCGGTCATTGATATGACGAAAGTGCCTACTTCAGTGAACTCCTGGGGCACAGTCATGCATATCAGAGAGTTTCGAATCTCAAATAATAGCAAAATGGGATCGGTTCGCAACATCTACTCATAGTCAAGAACAAACCAAGGCTGCTTCGCTCACGATAATGTGCGCAGCAGTTGCAAAAGATTCAGCCTGCTGGCTGTACAAAGGCCAATCCAGATGCATACCACTGACGTCATTAGTTACGAAGACACGAGCAGGAGCCACTTCACCAAGAGACACGTTCTGGGAAGCTAAATTGTGCAGAAGTAAATTAGCTTGACCAACGAGTAGCCTGAAAAAATGTTGATGGGAAAGGCCACTCTATTGGGATATGCTTCCATGTTCTAACCACAAAAATTAGGTGTTCCGCACTCCTTCGTAAGTATTGTCTATCTAATAAGTGCCTATGCCAGCTCCTAATGCGGATGTTTCAGGCTGACTAAACTTTAGGCTGGGTTTATACTAATCCATAAGTTCCGGAACAGTTCCAGCACAGCGCTCGAATTGTGTGCTGTGCTGGAGTGTGAACACAGCTTTAGGCTCTTCGTTGCACATACTAGCTGACATATATTCAGATTTAAAACAATGACTGAAGGCTCTCGCATATCATTCATACCGTACCTAGGGCTAAACAAGCTTGACCTTGTTCTTTCCTGTTTCCGAGAAACAAATAATTCTAGAGTAGGCATATAAAGTTGTTAAAGGCACCGTCCACCCTAAGTTGAGGGTGTTGAGCTTTTGGCAGCATATAACAGTAGGGCTTCCTATCAAGCCAATGCCCAAGTCGCTGCGCAGTATACCGCTTCGGAAGCGAGAAAATCGCTTCAGAATAGCGAAGATGCACGAAAACACCCATCCATGCCTGCCCATTTATGCACGCTTATCCAATCACCGTTCTGGAAGGCCGGCCTGTGGACTCTCCAGAATGGGGAGTGTCGGGGTTTTCGTGGATTCTCGGCTTCATATTTGGAATCAGGGACACGAGAAGGCCCTGAAACGACAAAAACCTGGAAGTCGAGAATCTGGGTGGACGGTGCCTTTGAAGGCAGTGGATCAGCAGAATGGGCCCTTCTCGGATTTCGGTGGATTTAGATAATAGACGCCCCAAGTACACTGTAGCCCAAACTCCACTTGCCAATTCACGCGCTAAGTCCTGAAAAATGCGCTTCAAAACTCCACCAGCCCCGCCCACTCAATGGAAGGGGGGGGGGGGGCTGGTGGGGTTTTGAAGCGCATATTTCAGGGCTTAGTGCGTGAATTAGCAGGTGGGGTTTGGGCTACAGTGTACTTGGGGGGTCTACTACCTAAATCCACCAAAATCCGAGAAGGGCCCATTCTGCCGATCCACTGCCTTTGAGCACACAATAAGCTTCTTTGACAATGTGTGCAGAGCTCTTCCGAGTCTCCTATTGTTAGTCAAAAAGTGAATGTTAGCTTCTCATAACTGTAGGAAAACAGCATCCAGATAGCAAAAACTTCTTCAACATTCTATGTAGGTATGCTAAAGCCCCACCAACCCGGTGCTTCCAACTTCCAGTACAACCCCACTGTACAGATCGTGCTCTCGCAACGCTCTAGCCGCGCCGCGCAGCGTTGGAGTAATCCGTGCGGTCAACAAATCGACAATACAACTTGAGCCTTCTGCACGAATGACTAGAATAATACAGCCTGTGTCAATTACGTACTTCCCTCTAGCGTAGGAACTACGCATGCGCAGCGCGGAGGTCTTGCGTGCCAACCCTCAGTCGAAGAAGCCAACTTGAACGCCCAAGCGGGACCCAGCACGAGATGGCATATGAGAAATTCAAAAACTAAGTCCCCGTTGACATTGCAGGAAGTTACGAGTAACCTTTTGCAGTGTTTGTAGAAGCTCATCTAATTATTTGCAACAGAAAAAAACCGGATTGAAGTGAAGCAAAGGCAAACATAGATCAAACATTTGAATGCAAAATGCGAAAGGCTGCTTATATTATCAGGAGCCGTAGCAAACCATAGAGGAGAAACTTGGAAAGATGAGTACTCATATAACGCTTGATCTAAAGAATAGATTTATGTAAAAAATTCAAATTTATGTAAAGAAGGGGTAAAATTGTGGAGTATGACTTTATCTGGTCCCGCGCCACCTCAGGATGCTCCTAGGTTGCGCGGAAGCAATTTACAACAATTTACATTTTGTGCGTGGAGACTGTGTTTAGACGCGTTGAAGTCGTGTGCACACAGATTTATGCACTAGAAGTGTTTGTCACGTGTTGATTTACCTGTAACTGGTAAAATTACGTTAAACCTTCAGATTTAGGGTCGCTAGAAGTTAGAGTTGTTTCCTAATATTCCGTCAAGTTTCCAGATGGATTTACGGGTTCCCCTCATTCCCCTCGAAATGAATCCAGCGTATGAAAGCGCCACCTCCGATGAGCCCAAGCCATACGCGCGAAGTTTGCGCATACAATTGCGCTTACAGAAAATGGAGCACGTGAACGACATAGACTGTATACTTCACGATCCCCCCCCCCTCCTTTGCAAACATAGAAGTAAAACCGTGGCTATGATGAGCCTGCTACCGTGTACCAATGGTACTCTGAAAGAAGGGGTAAACGCGAGATGGGCAACTCGTGATCCCCCTAGACAGGAACTTAAAAAAACCGAACAATCGAGCAAATCCTTGGTTCAAATAATTCTTGTACCCTTAAAAAATTGAAGCGCTCTACCAGCGAGATTTACTCAAGATAGCAGTGACTTCTCAGTGCAATAAAAGCTACAGGCAAGCTTGAGAAACGAAGAAATGCAACAACGAGTTGATGTTTTTAAGACTTACATAAAAACGGCTGCACCGATTCGACTTGCAGAGCAACACATTATCTAAGCAGATTTTGGATAAACTTACTATCAGTGTCACTTTTGTCAGCATATCCAAGCAGGTGCCTGAAGGAATTCACGCGGGATTCCCGATGCGGCTGTCGACGCGGGTTTCCTCCAAGCGTCCTCCTGCAACAATTCATAATAACTTCAATGAGTTGTTCCAATAAAACTGTTGAGTTCGAAAACTGTTGGCAAACGCGAGCAAATCATACTAACTGCGCAAGACGAGCACCTCGTTTAACGACACGATGCGGAGAACATCTTGGATCATCATGGTAGAGCATGCCATTGACCGCAAAATTACCATCCTCCTCAACGACTTCGTACTGTTCCATCTCCTCTGAAAATTCGAACTTTTCGAGAAATGTTTGAATGCGCTAAAGCATATTACCAGAAATCGTTAATTTCACAGAGCCAAAAAAATAGCAAAAAAACAGACAAAAACATGTTAGGGCAGACAGTACCTGATCATACAGTCGGTTTCATCCCGGATTAGGCGGAAGTTTCTGCGAGAGGCAGCGCGTGCGCATCACGAGTGCATAGCGCTCACATTTTGTCAAGCAAATACTAAGGGGAATGAAAAGCCGCAGGCTCGGGCTCTTAGCGCGATGTGACATACCATTTGATTCAACTGGCTTAGCTTCGCGAAGTTTCAAAGTTTCAAAGTTTCAAATAGGGGATAAAAGGGGACTCGTAGCTTTCCTGCGCTAAAATGACGACAAACACATGTGCAGGCGAAGCCGGAGCTGGAAAGGTGTGTCCTCGGCAGAAAACCTGCGCGATGAGCGCAGGTTACGGTATGTTATTTTGAGCATTTAACTTCTTCTATCGCTGACCCCAAGTTTCCCACTAAGCGCGTTGGTATTCAAGGCTAAACCCCCGCATCTGAATTTTACAAGCCTTATAGAACCTATGTGGTATAGATGCTTATAGGTTTCTGCATTCATAACAGCTATCACTCTATCAAGCTATCTACATGCATTTCCAAAGAGACTAGGACGTACCAACTTGCAAGTCATCGTAGATTACGTCCTCCCCGCAGTTTGATGTACTGGGTTTAGCCTTGCGAGCATCGCTATCATCTTGGACACTCATCTTCTGAAAACTAATGCTGTTCTCAAGAGGAACATACGATTGCGTACACTCATTTCAATGCACTCTGTCAGAAAAAGAAATCTAGGCCGTACATGACCAGAAGTCAGCATCGTATACATCATCGCATTGCCAGCACGGTATTTGTTAGGATTTGGGCATACTACTCGACATGATCCCAATGGGACAGACTGTATGTATGTCCGGGCCTCTATCGAAGGCACCGTCCACCCTAGATCAAAGGTCTTTTTTGGCAGCATAAATACGGGGGGCAGCCAACATGAACGATAGGTTGTGCCAGCCATATGCGCTGCGTAGGTCAAAACTTTTTCAAATCCCATATTTAAGCTATGATTATATCTCGAAGCTTGGAAAAAAACGTTGGAAGCTCTGTATGCCCTGATTCTTACTGTTCGACACCATTTTCAATCTAGTTTGGAACATACAGCTTCAAAAAATAAGACTTTATGTGCGACATATTGACAACCGCAGGAGTACAATATGCTTATTGCCAGCTATCGTTCATCTTGCCATACACCCCATAAATACTTACAAGGGCACCTCCGATCAAGCTAATGCCAATGTCGCGGCGCAAAATGTCGCTTCGAAAGCAAGAAAATGCTCCGGAAAACAACGGAGAAAGTAGAGGACCCATTTGGAGGGGATGTTGCCCCTAGGCAGCAATGCCCCCTCCAATGATGCTCGCCGTGTTACCCATCCAATCACCATTCGAAGAACGCCCGCGTGATTTCCAGAACGTTGTCGGGATTTTTGCGGATTCTCGACTTCGTATTTGGGAACAGGGAGATGGTAAGACCCCGCACACCACAAAGAAATGGAAGTGGAAATCTGGTGGAGGTACCTTTGAGACAGATGCCAGCTCCTGTTTAACCGGTTCTTCGGTTCACTCATTCGTTATTGGTCAAGTCAATGCACTGGCCAAGAGCAGGGGAGGGGGAGCGAGCCGAATGAATCTGTTAAGCAGGGTAAGTCTGGCACCTACCTAACTTTGGCAGGCACCATATCCAGGGTTGAGCAAGAGGTCAGGCACAAGTCCTTCAAAAACGACCCCCCCCCCCCTGTGAAAGCCCCTAAACGACCCTCCGCTTCACCTCCAAGTTCTTAGGGCGTTTTATTTTGAAGAAGACCAGCCTTCACTGCAGGTTTTTATTTTTTGAAAGTCTGTAGGCCCGACTTTCTGCGATTGCACAACACACGCAACTTGACGGCAAGTTTTAGATCTGGATAGTCCTCTTTTCAGAGCTATAATTTTCACAGGGGTGGAGTGTTTGGCTTCAAATCTTCAATATAGCAAGAAGAGGCTTTGCGCACAATACTCATATCAAAAAAGACAGAACAGATTTCGCAGTCGTTGCACCGTTTGCTACAGTACCCGCATAGCGCCCAATAGGTTGTTCGTGGCTGGACCGCGTTCAAGTCACTAGTTTCGCAGCCGAGTTAATCACATCGTCCCTGATTGAAATTGCATTTGCGTAGTTATGGCTAAAAGTTTGACCCTGTGGTTTACTCAGCAAAGCACTAGGATTAATACTCAGGGAAAATACGCATTTCGACCCCACTTTGCATTTCACCGTAATTGCCCTTAGCTCAACTGACTACTGAAAATTAGTGTCTTTTCCCATCAAGTGTGGATTAGATCAGTCCAGGGTTTCATGTATCATACATAGAAACTGAACAGACCTATTTAGGTGGGTGATACTTCTGGAAATCGAAAAAAAATAGCTGTTAGTCTGTTTATTTTCTATTTGAAGCATCTTACGGAAACTGGTGCTGGGCCAAGAATGAATGTCGCACTAAGGATGTTCGGAGTTTTGCCCTTCTTGATGAGTTGTTGTGCTGTATAACATCACCTGGATAGGTGTTGAAAGCTATATCTTACCATATAACCTAGTATAGCTTACCTATTGTCTTGTTCAAGGAAGAGTGACGACATGAGTTTGGATCTTACACCGTGTATAACTTTGAGAATTCAAGATAGTGTGACAATTTAACTATTGCTGAGGTCTTTCCATCCACTGACCCTGAGCTCATGCCAACGTACAGTCTAAGGGAACGGGCATAGTGTCCACGATTTCGTCGCCGCGATTTCATCGCCGGGGAAATCGGTGGTTTGGGCGACGAGATCGCGACGACGAAATCGTCCGTCGCGCGTGCATGGGCATAGTGCTCGCGATTTCATATCTTTGCACAAAGCAGGTGCACGCAAACTAAGCAGACTGTTCTCGTGTAATATGTGTTATTAGATTCACTTCATTCTGACCATAGAGCCTTCATGCCGATCGTGATGAAATCGAGCACAAGAAATTCTCACATTTTGCCCAACTTCCAACAAGATTTTCACGAGCTTACCAGTTCTAAGCATAGTGAATTTCACCTGGGAACGTCGGCCTCTCTGAGCCAACAGCTACTAGACACTCCTCAACAAAATTTTAGGTGGAACAAACTAGTACGTGGATTTTGTAAAGCTTTAGCAAAGACCCACATTAAACGCCCTTTTAAAAGTCAAGCACAGCATCACTACGAAGATAGCGAAAACACAAGCATAACCGTTTGGAGTTGGTGCACCAGTAAGGACGAGAATTCTCCTGTATTCATATGGATAGCGAAACGTAAGAATATGCAAACAGCCAAAGTGATAACTATTATATTAACTTTCCGAAAAGCAAAGACTCTAACACAAAAATCATCCAGAAAACACTCCAAAAAACCATCTCGTCAAAAATGCTTATACTTTCGAAAAACAAGTCGTCCGGCAATTTAAAGTTAGGGAAAGACTAAAAGTATCTTTGTACAACTACTTCAAACAAGTTTCATTTCTTTTTCAAACAAAAACGAGGTGAAAGAACAATGCATGCGTACAAAAAACTCTCAAGATGTCCCTCGCACCTCAGCGATATCGCCCAGTCGCCCGTGCAGCACGCGCGACGCGACATCGCTGAGTTGGGCCGAAATCGCGGCGATTATCGCTGCACAACTACGCCCTAGCTAAAAAGGGTCTGCGATCCGTCGCGCCGGACGAGTATCACAAGCGCCGTATCAGACGCATAGACATACAACGAGTGCGTAACAGTTGTCGTAATTCAGAAATCGCAGCGCGACGGTATCGTGGACACTATGGCCTAGGCCTAACGCAACAGCTTTAGGAACTGTATGCGTTCGTAGCAAAGCGAAAGCCGCTATTTGCTGGCAGGACCATCGCGCACTCGCGAACTTCAAAAAGAACCTGCGATGCTATCTGCGCCTATGATCGCTGTCATTCTGCAGCCTTTTCTCTTCGCATTTTGTCACTATTTGTACGTAAGGCTGCATCGAAGGAAAACTATAATTCGTTCGGATTGCGGCGCTGACTTAACTTACAGTAAACGTAATGCGAGCACAAAATGTGTCCCTTCTTACTTTCTTTAATCTTACTAATTGCATAAAGTGGTCTTGGAATTGATATGATGTGTTGCTGATCCTCTGGATCGTAGCTAACACATCGACTCAAGTTACACTCACTGACTAGTAGCGGGTAGGTAGTACACTGACTAGCTAGCATCGTCAGTGTTAGAACTTATGATAGGATTTCTCTGAGGAACTGAAGTGAATGACGGTGAGAAATATCAATAATCATATTTACGTCTCATCACAATCGAGGGGACTGAAACAAAAAAAACAGCATTCGCCAGGTATATGGCGAAAACTCAGACTAGAAGAATGGGGTGACCGGAATATAAGTCTTGGGGAACCTTCATTGAAACATTGATACGCTCGTTATCCTAGTAGAAAAACCTTGAAAGAGAGAAAGAACGATGATCCAGGGCTGAAAGTAAGACAAAGAAAAACAAAGCAACTACGAATATGCCAATTTAGACAACGGTTCTGAAAGCAATAGACTCAGAATCTGCGTATGATACATCACCTGTGTTAGGTGCGAAAAAAACTGCTCATCTTTAAATGTCCTTGTAGTTCTTGTACGCCCAAAACCTCGGACAAGAACTGCTTCTGCATTAGGTTCATTTTGGAGTTCGCAGGTACGCTGGTCCCGCCACGAACACCCTGTTGGGCGCGCTAGGGAGTATTGTGGCAACCGGTGCAACGACTGCGAAATCTGTTCTGTTCAAAAAAGGGGCGATTTTTGAATGCTGAAGGCAAGTTAAGAGGGTCAGGCGCAACCCCTCAAAAGCTCAGGCGGCCTGACCTTTTGAGGGGTTGCGCCTGCCCCCATCATATTTTCGAAAAAGCTTTTCTATCCAAGTTTTATGTGATTCGCTAGCTCAATCCTCGAAGATTCCACAGTAAGTGTTTGAGCTTGATTCGACTTGTTTCGGCCTTGTGCTAATCCGAGAAATTGAAGCACTCAACGTGAAAAACGCGCCGGTTGCAATTTTGGCAGCACATCTTACTTAGCTGTTTGGAAGCGATATGAAATTCGATTTGTAGCATAGACTTATAGAGAACGTTACCTTGTTATGAGTATACAAACGCTGACTTTTCTCACTTCTAAAACCAAGTTGATCACGTTTGAAAATTACACTTTTTAGGCGTTGAGAAACACTAGAAGCTGCAGTAGGTAATGGCTTGTAGAGCGTATAGAGGTAATTTGACATGCTGATTATGGAAATGATACCCATTTCACACAGCAAGCTTCCTTGTTTACCTCATATGTTAAGGTAAATGAGAAGAAGATTTGAATTTTGGCTGAAACAATCACTGTGGGAACAATCAGTATGCTGTTGCTTTATCCTCAATACGATCCCCCAGGTCGGGAGCGCCTGACCCCACGCTCAACCCTGGCCATATCTGGTTCACGTCATTTGCTATTGGTCAAATCACTGGATCCACAAGCGAATAAGTGAAGATGAACCGCTGGAATGGCGCCTACCTTTCAAATTCTAGCAAGTAATGATACTGGAATGCAAGACATATTTTTCCAGATAACAAACAACATAAACGGATACAAGGAATTGTGAAATCTGGTCATTATTCGTTCCTATTACTAACAACCGTATGAGAACGGCCATAGGTTCGCAGTGTTCGCGGTGTTCGTGGTTTCGCAGGGTTCGCGGTGTTCTCGGTGTTGCGTAATGCACGTTTTGTAGTTGAACTTCCACTTTATGAATTAACTAATTTTGCATTGATTGTAAACACATTACCACCTTTGAGCAGCTTACAACACCAAGCAGCAACACCGCGAACACTGCGAACCTATGGCCGTTCCCTATCTGGGAGAAGACTGTGAACTATGAGATCTACTATGCAACAACAATAATGAAACTTCTCAAACAAAGAATCTCATTACTTTTGAGAGAGAACGGCAAGTAAAACAAACAGTGAATTTGACTGTTTCGGAAAAAGGATTGCGCACCTTTCTCGGCCTCTCACATTTGTGCGTACTTTTTACGGCAAACTCTAGAGCACAGCTAGAGAACTGGAGGAAATTGTGGTAGATGCCGGATTATTTCTGGAGCGCGATTTTGTATCTCTCTTGACAGGGTTGTTTTTTCTTATGTTCAAGTGTAGTTCCCCTCAAATATAATTCAGTATTCTTCTCATTGCTAAGCCTTTTGGGAAGAACTTTCCATTGAGTAGTTTTTTGAGTACTGCCATTCTTTGTTTGTCCGTCTATCGTAAGTATAACGACTCTCGTTTGTTTCCGTGACGTTTGGTTGGTTTGATAATATTATCTTTGCCTAGTCTTGCAAATGCTCTTCTATCCCGCTTTAAAGTTATTGAATATGCTTTATGCAGGCATGTCCAGAGCACTTCTACAGTGCTGCGGAGCCTCAAAATTTGCCCTCACGTCACGGGGCCTATCACAAGTCAAGGTTTGTGTTCAGCCATTTGTGCTTCACGTCACCTCCTGTTTCTGTTTACTCTTGCGTCTTTTGTTCTGAGTGCTGATGCTGAATATACCTGTTTTAGCATAGATTGCTGCCCTCTTTATCGCAAACCACTTTCAATAATGTACAGAAACGTAGCATTTTGTTCAAAATGGGCAATGAAACCCCTCCTAGAATTGTCGGGTATTACGTAGTGTGAGTTTCACTTGTTCTTTCGGCCTTTGCCTTATCTTTCTTTTCAGCTTTCCGCACATACCTGATGAAACTGTGGAAAACAATAGTTTCATGTATGGCATAGCTAAAGGAGAAGACTGGCCCAAGTTGGCGACAGCAACACCAAAGGTTAAGTAATCCCATCATTGCAGATATGGTCACTGTCTCGTAAATTATGAGTTTTAGGAAATGTACGAAGGCACAGTACGGATGCTCATGGAGTATGGAGCCACCTCAATGGAACACCTCGAACTCCTGCAGAAACGTAATTAGAATCTGCGTGTTTTTCAACTTTTTCTCAAGTTTTCTTCGTTTCTGTTAAATCTTTTTACAGTCATATACATTTTTACACTTTTATCAGTGCTTAAGTTGTTCACTTTCACTTTTTCGTTCGTAATATTTCGTTGAAATTTCGTGTCAGCTGGGTCAGCTTGAACTTGTGGATTATCTTTAGTTTAGTCTGCATTTCAAGGCATACTCTCAGAATGTCTTTTTTGGGAAGTGTCATGTGCCTCATCATTCCCTCAAATTACTCTTTTAGTACCTCAAGAGGAGCGAACGTTTGAGACTGCTGTTGAACCTCTCTTAACCGAGGAATATGACGTAGACTATGCTCTCCAAACGCTGCTTCTGAAAATGCTTACTGACTGGCCAGAAAGCAGCCGCGAACTTTTCGATTCCGACTTGCACCATGTATGCTCCGATTCCTTCCTGATAGCTTTGGAATCATTATTTTCTCATGTTTGTAGATCAAAATCATGAGTGCTCGGGATCATATGGAAAAACTTTCCAACGCTGACTTCCAAGCAACAATCAAGGTTCGCCTCGAAATGTTTGAATATACTTTGCATGTAATTGATTTCAGCAACTGTATGATTCCAAGGAAGGTCTGAATGAATGGCAATTACGTTTGCTGGAATGGTATTTGTTAGAGGTAATTCTGGTTTGGTAATCTTAATCATAAGCATATCAATGAGTAATTTCCTAGATACGCGCGAGTGGTTTGGATAGAACTGATGAAAAGACGAGGAAGTTGATCGGATCCTGGAATAAATACATTGATGAGTACCGCAGCAAGTATATGTGAGTGTTGATTTATCAACATATACTCTACAGTGAACTGCGATTGTTTTTGTACATTCGTCGGAACAGCAAAGAAAAGATTATTTATAGTTCAAACGTTATGGCAACTAATGATCAAGTTGTCTACACCATTACCGACAAAGCAATGTTAAAAGATGCTCCGCCTCACATATTGCAAAAACTGGCAGTGGATCCGTGAGTTCCTTCTTAAACGCCTCATTTGTTAATGTTTTCCGTTTTTTCGATTGCTTTTTCCTTTGCACTTTGTGATTTAGTTATGCTAGTATCTCTTAGGAACCCGTCATACTTCGCCGAAAAAAAGCCCGAAAAAGCCCAAAAGCGCCAGGAAGAGCCGGAACACCCCCTCGCAAGTTTCGGAGTACAAGAAGAGACAAGAGTAGAAAAAGAAGAATAATCAAGTGAAAGGACCGGCTTGCGAACACAACACACATGCCTTAGCGCCAAAACTTGCGAGGGGCATTCCGACTCTTTCTGGCGCTTTTGGGCTTTTTCTGGCTTTTTGGGGCGCTTTTGGGCTTTTTTCGGCGAAATATGACGTTTCCCTTAAGCGTTCGCAAGCACTTCCGCATGAACAACATCATGTTCACAAACGTAATTTTTGAAAACCATGTAATATGGGATGTCTCCTCCTTTTTTTCAAGCAGTCATGATTTGCTCACATATTTCTACCGTTTCTTTACCATCCTAGTCTCTCTTTTTCAAAGGCAGTGTCCAGGCTAGACCTAATCCCCTCCGATTAGTGTCGATCCTGAATTTAGACCCCAGAAAAGGGACATCTGCGTTTTTCCGGTCTTCTAACGTCGTCTCTGAATGGAGATAAGGGGCCTGAAAGTTCCTGGCTGGGCGGAGTCTGATATCAGACTCCGCCCACCAGGGACTGCTCACTATCTTGTCAGTACGTGCCTCCCGACACGTATTGACGATGGTAGTGAGCAGAAGCTGCACACTGCACCCTGCAATGCAACTGCACACATGCAGTTGCAGCTCCTTCCCGCTGGCCTGCCGACGGGGACGAACAATTCGAAACTCGTCCGCGCCCTCAAGACTGGGTCCCCAAAAATCGGGGTTTCTGTGAATTTTGGAGGGTTTGAAGTTCGGAACTGTAATCAGGGCCACGGAAAGGCCCCAGAACGACAAAAACATGGGGGGCCAAATTCTAGGTGGACGCTGCCTTTAAGTATAAAACACTAAAAACACTATGTCTTTGTTATTTGACTGCTCTTTTTAGCACGCAATGGGAGGAAGGACCATGGCGTGGAAGAATGACACCACATACGATCTATCCCTTCATGCAATACTGCGGTAATCGACAATTGAGAGCAGAAGCATGGATGAAGTGGACTAGCAAGGTCAGAGTTCTTAAAAGCCGAATCTGAAAGTCACATATCAATGCTGTTCCTCGGCAACCTTTAGGCCTCGTTTGATCACGACTTCTATAATAATTCTCTCAATTTGGAAGAGTTGCGGCACAATAAGTGAGTCATGTGTATATTTTAACTCTTGTCTGACTTGCTACTGTTGCAGCGAGGGTCTTGCGAAAACGTTGGGTTACTCTTCTGTAGCAGACCACAGACTTGCTAATAAAATGGCAGCCTCACCCGAGACTGTTCGGAACTTCCTGAACGCGTTGGTTTTGCCCTTGTCACTTCCAACATTCTTCTAAGCATTCATTTGAAGGCTTACTCGTCGAATACGACCAGTTTTTATTGACCGGATGGAATCATGGTCGGTATACGCGCAGATCAAGGAAATGATGTCAGGAGACCTTCAGGCCCACGATTTAGCATACATATGTAGGAGAGAAGCTAAACAACACTACGAGTCAGTTTGATAGATCGTGACAACTGTTTTTCCAATCTATGATTTAGTGTGGATCCTCTCGACCTGATGAACCATTTCCCGTTCTGGCCTACCTTCCAAAATCTAACACGGATTATCGGACATATATTTGGACTCAAATTCAAGGTTGTTTTTGGTGCGTCTCAAAATTTATGAGGTGTTAACTTTTGCAGGACATCACCGAAAGTGGACTTGAGCGTGCCCATCAAGACGCAAAAATATACTCTGTGAAAGATACTAGCACTGGCGAACATCTGGGACGGCTTTACATAGATCCATATGACAGGGAAAGCAAACGAGGTGGATGGAATACTCTTCTGGGTCGAAGTAAGTTATCTTGTCATGAAGAATTTCTCTTTGCTGGATCATTATTTCTCGGAGATGTCTTTTAGCTTACTGTTATTGTTTTTTTTTCTTGTTGCAAAGTTCTTGCTCGAAACTATGACATTGAACTGTCAGAAGTCCAGATCTGTTAACAATCATCTCCTTATGCTCAATGCTCAAAAAGGTATCTGCGCTTTTGGGGGTATAGCTGGATGGTCCCAGACAAATTCTATATATCTTTTGAATCTTGCCGCTCTTGTTGACAGGAATTGTTAGTACCCATACCTTGCTAATCCTTACCCAGAATGTGTAAGTATGCCTTCATACCGCGCCGACAGCCGCCGTTAGCCACCTTTGCGCACTATTCCATTATCTGCCTCAATGTCGAAACCACGAATCTGGCTCAAACTGGTTTAATGGGCTTATTCGGCATGCTGGCTACAAATAGTATAATCTTTTAACGTTTTGGAAAGGCTTTGCTCTGAGATAGTGCGCGAAAGAGGCTACAAGCGGTTAGCGGCGGCTGCCGGCGCGGTTGAAGGCACCTTGAGCTTGAGTTGTCCTGATATTAGTCTTATGTCTGTTTATCCGATATTCAAATTTCAGTGGAATGTCGGACTAGAGGCTTAGACAAATTGGTTTATCTCGTTGGATCGGCTGTAGCTCCCACTGAGAATGCACCATCTTTACTACACCATCAACAACTGCAACAACTACTATTTCATGTGAGATTTTAGAACATTGTTACCCTCCACATCCGTAAAGTGATTTTCCAAGGTGGGTCGTGCCGTGCAAATGTTGCTTTCACGATCACCATATAGGGATATCGCAATCCCGTGGTCTCCTTTCTACGCCAGCGACTGGGACGCTATGGACATGTTTCCCGCATTTCTACAGTTCTTCGTGTACAAACCGTCATTACTGCAGTCACTTAGCTCTCCACATTTGGTGTGTACAGGTCGTATGCAAATGTCTCAATGAGAATCTTGTGTTCAGAAGAATGGTTCAACTATCTCCGACGAGCAAGCAAACAATGTCTGTTTGGCTCTGTCAAGGTCAACTCTTTGGGAATCTTACCGTTCACTATTTTGGGCGGATTTTGATCTTACAATATTCGAAATGGAGGACAGAAAGTACCGTTTTTTCACAATAAAGTATGCTATGCGAATATGAGCTCAAACTCAGGCAAAAATTCTGGTTGGACTTGTATCGAGAAATGTCCAAGGAGTATTTCCCTTTCAAAGCTGATAGAAATGACTACCATCCGTGTTCGTTCATTCCAATTTTCGGCCTACAACCTTACATGGGAATGTATTATCGAAAGCTGTGGACAGAGGTGATTTTTCCAATTTGAATATTTTGGTGCTAAGCTCCTTACATCTAGATGTTGGCTTTGGACATCCATGAAACTTTTGACTACGAAGATGATGTGGTCAAAACCGGTGAGCGTCTTAAAACAACCATTCTCTCGCGTGGATCAGGAGATGTAGCCAAGGAGCTCTATCGAAGATTCCAGGTATTCCCCGCTTTCTTATTTTTACTATGTTTACCATGCGAGTATTTGCCAATATCTATATCTTAGCATTTTTGAGCCAGTTGTTCTACCAAATCATTAGTGCAGCACTGAGCGTTGTACATGAACTTTGCTGCCATTTAAAGCATTATGGAATGATTTTTACTCGGTAAACTCACTCGTTCAGGGTCGTGATCCCAGCGTTGGTGCTATATGTGATTTCTACGATCCACCAGCGTTCTACCACTTAGATAATGAGACGGCTCTCGGACGTTGATTTTAGATGGTTTTAGACTAGGTATAGAAATTTTTACAGTAATGTATATAAAAATTTTTTTTATAACCTGTACAGTCATTTTGAAGATCCTCTATTTTATTTGCTCCCACTTCCTCGATTTTTTGGTATTACAGTTTCCTCAATTTTCCTTGAATATTGATGAGATACTGCCTCATGGTCCTCTTGTAGTATAGTTATTATTGAGATTCGATTGTTACAAATCATGCCCATGCTCTGATTGTTGATATTGTTGTTTTATAGCGGGACATAATGTGTTTCGAATGAAAAGTTACTCCATTTATGAGTAAACATTATTAGAAGCGTTGAAACCGCTTTATACATGTCTCACATGATTTGTTGAAGCACTAGTGTAGGTACTTGTATTTGCAAAATTTCAAGGGTATGTCCAGTACGACTGCATCAGCAGGAGATGCGAAAGCACCAGAGACCACTATCGTTACAGAAGTGCCAGAAAGTTTGCACCGTGCTCTTCTGATGATGGTCAAGAACTTCTTTTCGAAGGTATTTTCTATTGCCACAGAGGTGCCTTAGGCAACGGCCATATGTCGTGTTGTCTGTGTTGTCGATGTTGTCGGGGTTGTCGGGGTTGCCGGTCGTTGTAGGACCTCATGATAGCCTCCACTTTTCGCGCGCTGTCTAAACTGTCTCTGACCCCGACAACTCCGACAACACCGACAACATGGACAACACCGACAACACCGACAACACTGACAACACCGACAACATCGACAACCTATGGCCGTTCCCTCACGGTTCCTTCATACTGCGCCGCTGGACGCGTGCTGCGGCGTAGTATGAAGGAACCCTTAATGATTGATGTGTCAAAAACTAGGGAGGATAAATGTTTTTGCTTGGTTTGAGCCGAAAGAATGAGAGAAAAGACTAATGCATTGTCATTCGGTATGTAGGGGTAGTAAGAAGCTAGGAGAAATAATACCTTGCTTGATAAGCTTCCTTTGCTTTTTCTCGCTATTAGCGAGATTCTTGAGAGTGATAGTTTGTACAATTTATTCAACTGGCTGAGCTTCGGCAAAGGCGCGGCTTCGTGACCTAATTAAGGCTAGGTAATGATCAGAGAGCACTCGCGCGCGAGAGACGAGGTGCGTCGCGGGCGCGAGCGGCTTGCCCTCACGGAGCTAAACCAGTTGAATCAAAGATATATAGCTGCAAGGTTCTACACTCTATCGAATGCATTTGATATAGCCTGAGTGAATAATTTGTGTTTTGAACTTCCAAAATCGATGCCTCTGATGCCTCAGCTTACACAAATGTTTGCCATGCACTTCCATGGTAGTTCATTGAGCAAGGATTTGACATAAAAAAAGAGAGACCTCTTAGCGAAAACTAAGGCCTTGGCCACACTTCGCTCAAAAGCGATTATCTGGCATCCCTTCACTTTTACAAGTGAGGAGAGATGAGAAAAGTGAGGAGAGGTCATAGAAATTTGGGCGCTTTTGGCTTTTGAGAGGTTTTGAGCGAAGTCTGGCCGGGGCCTAACGATGAATCTTGTTTCTACCTAGGAGCACTACCTCGTTGTCTATTATATAATGAGATCTGTCTGTATACGAGAAGAAAACTTACGGAGTCGGTTGAACTTCGACCAGAAACAGTTAAGGCAGGTTTGTTGTCGTTAATAAGGAAAAGAACTGCGTTTTTCTTGCTTTCATTACTTTACTTCATTTAGCTATTGGCAGGGCTGAAAAACGAGAAATTAGTCAAAGATCGATTACTGCAGCAGAAGAACGAAACTGGAAGGAATGTCTCTATCATTTTTTACTTTATAAACTATAGGGCTATAATCAACGTGTTGAAATATAAAATTGATCACATGAGGTATGTCGAGTTTTATTTGTTCATATATTTTTATGGCTAAAGGAATTTTTTTTATGCAGACAGATGCTAGAGGCACGGGAGAAGAATGAACTACAAAAAGCTAATTACAAATGTGATCAATGTGGAGCTCAGTATGAGGTGAGCTGGATTATTTCGCTCTCCTGATTTTATGTACCACCTTTAGGACATGGACATAGATAGGATCTTTGACATACAAACTGGAACGCTGAAATGCTGGCGATGTCAGGGCGAGGTTACACAAGACATAACTGGAGGACCAACTCAAGTCACTAGGTTGCAGAAATAGAAATGGAATCAAGGATTCGTTTTTTATGGTTTTCTTAGGACCCTTCTGGCACGTTTTAATGAACAAATGCTCCCTCTTTTTGCTGCCATACGGGAACTAGCCGGCATACAATTGGCACCGCATCTACTTGAACCGGATATCAACCAGTATCTTGCTGAAGAAGATAAGGGTATGTCTCGTTTTGGCCCTTTAGCAGCCCTTTTTCTTGCCGTTTACGATGTAGTAGCTATAAGCTTTTCGATAAATCTGCAAAGTTCAGCTGCCGAACCTCAGCAGCAACTAGTGGACTTCTCCACATCGGCTGGCGGAAATCGTGCGCAGCTGGGTGGTGTTGCGCATTCTTTCGCCAGTGGTCCCTCGATCAAATATGCTGATCAAATCACAGTCGATCTCAACGCGGATGCGAATAGGTCTGTGGTGAAGTCTCAGCACTGCAAAATCAAAAGAACCGCTTTAGCAAACCCGTTGAGGAAGCAAAGGTCGTTCCGACTTGGCTTCAGGATGATGCGATTGGTGGCAGTGAGCAAGATGCAGCCCTACAAGATACCATAGCAGTTGGTCCTGAGAGGTATAAATTTTATTATTACAATTTGAGAACTCATATATCCCGCTTTCGTTCTTTTGGCACACTAATGCAAAATCAACGCGTGTTGCTCCTCTGTTCCAATCGAACTAGCATTCGTTACCGCGTTTACGCTTAATCGCCCTTCTGTCCCTCCGTAAACCTTATTCCTTCTTCTTCTCCAACCAGAAACGAAAGCGTTTCTCAGAGTAGTCACCTGGAGGTCGTGTAAGCGCAATTACAACCTGTCAGGATGTGACTCATCATGCCGATGTAACATTGCATCAGGATCATGCAATCGTTGTTTACTGGATCTTGTTTATCAGTACCTCTCTGTACCTCGGATATTACAGCAACGTTGTAATGCGGAGTAGGTATAAAAAGAGTGGAGAGTTACAACATGCATGACTGGCTATTAGCTCCCAGTCCCCCTCCCCCCTTCCCTTCATCTTTCATGTATATATCTCTTTGTATAATAAACCTTAGATAGTCTGATCTTATGTCAAATACACCATAACACCGCTACACCCTCAGGCAAGGGTCCAGCTACCCCTTGTACCTGATATGGAAGTCCCGGTGAGATTTTTTTTCAAGGATTTCTCAATCTTAAACCAATTTTTTTGAAAACTTACCTCCTTTTGGTTATCGCAATAAAACGTTCCCCTCCACCATGTCCCCCTCCCCCTCCCACCTCGTCTTATATTCCGCTTCCTCGATTGGCCGTCCAGGATCGGGATTCGAACGACACGTAAGTAATTTTCTTTTACCACTAACCGACAATGGTGTGTTTTAACCATTAACCTAGTGCAATCTGAGAATTGCCTTCATAAAGTCCTGCGGGCGGGTACCTTAGGTCAATAATTTACATATTTCATGCATGTAAAGCGCGGATATTTTCGAAAAAAAATTCCGTGCTGATTTATAATTGAGCGCAGTTCATAACTTATTTTTTTAGCGCAATTCACAGTAGATTTGCTTACAAATTCACCGTGATCCGTGACTTACGTAATCAAATTTAGAGAAAAAAGTATTGAACATTAATTATTATTTTTGCATTAAAAAATGAGGGTATATTAATTAGATTATAGCTAACATATCGGGATTTATCCCTTAAAATGCAGATAATCATCATGAAATTCAAAAGGACTCGCTCGCGAAAACCGGTAAAGTATGATCATACAAAACCTGAGATTGGCTATACGAAAATATAGCACGTGAAGGCGCTGACATTTATCAGCTACGCCCGATTCACGGCGCATTGTTTTGGTGAATAGATCATTGCATCTACCCGGCAGCGCAACCTCAACAAACCTCAACTAGCAATAAATTCTCTCGTGGATGACGAAAACTCACAGGTGGCCGCACGAAAGATATTTCTCGAAACGCTACTATCCGCGATTAATCAGGCGCGTACAAATGGTCGAGCCCAAAAATATTTTCGCGGAGGCAACCCACCTACAATTAATATGTCGCGAACAAATGGCTGCGAAGAAAATATCCTAGCGCTTCCCCAGCCGCAATTACTCACTCATGAAGCAATTGGCCGTAGGCGAGAAAACTCATGGAGGAACGCTCACGACTAATGACTATTCAATTGAGATTGATAATTATATTTTGACAGGCTCATTCGGATAATAAAAGACTTCACCCTACTACACTTTAGAAATTTTTTTTTGCTTTATCCAGCCTTTCTCAACAAATTCCATGAAAGTCTATAAGAAAACCAACGGAATACACATCGTTTTGGAAGTAAGAGAACATTCGTAACAATGATATATATATATTTCAAACAATGTAGCTTTCCTCTTGGTGTAACCCCTCTACCAAAACTTGTTTCGGTTTCTCGTTATGAAATTTGGCAGCATTCCAAAGTCAAAATCAACATATTTCATCATAATCTCTCCATCTGCTGTCTCCTCGTTTGCCGTGTTCCACGGATCCGAGGTGGCCAAGTGGTAAACACGAATTCATGCATTTCTTTTGCAATAAATTCAAACCTCACCTATTACAATATCACATCGAAAAATAGATTCTCCATCCTAATACTGTGTAACACAGAAACCAAACTCGTAAACAAAACCATTAGGAAGAGTAAAGACTAATTTTTTTCCGTCAAAATATTTACCAGTTTTCTCAGAACCGACATTGTGGGTCCACTTCCCCAATGTATTGACGGAAGTAGATTTATTTCCATAACTGTATGCGCATTTAGCAAACTATTCATATGCACTCCACTTCCCAATCAGTTGACTGATACAGCTGTAAAAGCTCTGGTTAAAGATGTCATTTCTAGACATGGCATACCTAATGAGATTGTTTCCGATCGTGGATCTAATGATATGAGTGAAAGTTCGCTCAAATAACCACGTCTTGGGAATCTCAAACTCTTTTACAACCAGCTATAATCATAGAACAAATGGGCAAGTTGAGCGCTTAGTTAAAGTTATCAGTGATTCCCTTACGGCTTACTGTTCGGAAGCACGCGATATGTGGTCTGATTTTCTTCAGCCTATTGTTTTCGCATATAATACCAGCGTTAATGATACCACAGGTCACAGCCCATATTTCATCACTTATGGGCGCCATCTCATAACTTGGTGCGATATTGTGCATCAACTTCCATCTAAAATTTCGTATGCTTCGGATGCTTTGCTGATCAACTCACAACTGCTCTTCAGACAACTGTAACGGAAGTTGGAAAGCAACTTGCAGAAAAAACTGCAAGGTACAAAGCAGGGTACGATTTTCAGCATAAAGTTTTTACGGAGGAAATTTCTACTGGAGATCTTTTGCTATTACAAGACGATACTGTCAGGCCAAAATTCTCAATTCAGTGGAAAGGACCTTACCCCGTAGAAGGCGTAAATCGTCCCAATGTTACCATCAAAAGTTTGACTGGTAAACAAAACAGTCAAGCTGTTCATATCAATAGATTAAAAATCTATTGTTCCCGCTTTTCATTTGATAGTGTTTCCCATCAATCAATTCAAAACTCACCAGCACCCTCGGAAACATTACCAAATGACGAGCATCCTGTTAGTCGCTCTAAAAAATTTACAGCTCCACAGCCAGAATCTGGACAGCGACAGCACAGATTCTGAAGAACTGTAATGCGAACGCGTTCTTCTCACTAACAGAGCAAGTAAGTTTGAATTTTTTTTCATTTCTGTTTCATGCTGCAACGCCGCTGAAATGAATACATAATTTCTTTGAATTGGCGATTCACAGAAAGGGAACTTCTATTGAGCAGCGCTAAAAAAAAATTTCTTTTCTTCCGCGTTATTCAACTGCAAATTTCGCCCTTGCACTGATTTAGCGAAATTGTGCTATTTCAAAGCAAGTCCCCCTTTAAAAAAAACAAATAAATAAATAAGTAGTACTTCGTCTGTATATTACAATCCATTATTATAAACTTGACGTTTTTTTCTTTTAATAATCGAATATTGTACTAATATTTTGTCCCCCTGTGCAAAATTTCAACATTTTTTTCGTACCTATGTAACGTTTATGAATTACTTATTAGACATGAATGTTGACTGATATTTTGTACAACAATAATGTCTGTCACCTGAATTCAACACTCCCCAACTACCGCCACTGCAATGCATGACACCACGCCCTTTGCACGACAACATCACCGACAATACCATTCTACACTCTCTCATAGCTCGAGGACGAGCTTCCTCAACCATTCGGGGTAAAGAGAAGGTCGTGACTGCTTCAACAGTTCACCTAATCTTACCTCGATATGCTAACAAGAGCAACACTTTTTTCGATCAATCCTCAGCAAGCTCGAGGACGAGCTATTCTGTAGGAATGGAGATGTCAGGATGTGACTCATCATGCCGATGTAACATTGCATCAGGATCATGCAATCGTTGTTTACTGGATCTTGTTTATCAGTACCTCTCTGTACCTCGGATATTACAGCAACGTTGTAATGCGGAGTAGGTATAAAAAGAGTGGAGAGTTACAACATGCATGACTGGCTATTAGCTCCCAGTCCCCCTCCCCCCTTCCCTTCATCTTTCATGTATATATCTCTTTGTATAATAAACCTTAGATAGTCTGATCTTATGTCAAATACACCATAACACCGCTACACCCTCAGGCAAGGGTCCAGCTACCCCTTGTACCTGATATGGAAGTCCCGGTGAGATTTTTTTTCAAGGATTTCTCAATCTTAAACCAATTTTTTTGAAAACTTACCTCCTTTTGGTTATCGCAATAAAACGTTCCCCTCCACCATGTCCCCCTCCCCCTCCCACCTCGTCTTATATTCCGCTTCCTCGATTGGCCGTCCAGGATCGGGATTCGAACGACACGTAAGTAATTTTCTTTTACCACTAACCGACAATGGTGTGTTTTAACCATTAACCTAGTGCAATCTGAGAATTGCCTTCATAAAGTCCTGCGGGCGGGTACCTTAGGTCAATAATTTACATATTTCATGCATGTAAAGCGCGGATATTTTCGAAAAAAAATTCCGTGCTGATTTATAATTGAGCGCAGTTCATAACTTATTTTTTTAGCGCAATTCACAGTAGATTTGCTTACAAATTCACCGTGATCCGTGACTTACGTAATCAAATTTAGAGAAAAAAGTATTGAACATTAATTATTATTTTTGCATTAAAAAATGAGGGTATATTAATTAGATTATAGCTAACATATCGGGATTTATCCCTTAAAATGCAGATAATCATCATGAAATTCAAAAGGACTCGCTCGCGAAAACCGGTAAAGTATGATCATACAAAACCTGAGATTGGCTATACGAAAATATAGCACGTGAAGGCGCTGACATTTATCAGCTACGCCCGATTCACGGCGCATTGTTTTGGTGAATAGATCATTGCATCTACCCGGCAGCGCAACCTCAACAAACCTCAACTAGCAATAAATTCTCTCGTGGATGACGAAAACTCACAGGTGGCCGCACGAAAGATATTTCTCGAAACGCTACTATCCGCGATTAATCAGGCGCGTACAAATGGTCGAGCCCA